CGAGCCATCCAGGCGCCCCCTTTTTCTTTTTTTTAAAGATTTTATTTATCTGAGAGAGAGTTTGAGCAGCCGGGAGGCGGGGCGGGGGGAATGTTGGAAGCAGAGGGAGAGGGAGAGGCAGGCTCCCCCCTGAGCAGGCAGCCTGATGTGGGGCTCAATCCCAGGACCCTGGGATCGTGAGCTGAGCCGAAGGCAGACGCTTAACCGACTGAGCCACCCAGGCATCCCCCCTTGTTCTTTCAGTAACTTCACTTTTTACATATTTGCTGATTGCCCCTTAACCACTGGGCCTGTCCTCTTCATCAGGGCACCCCTGGCACCCAGTCCGGGGCCCGACACGTGGAGGCCAGTGTAGAGCTGTGCAAGCCAGTCAGTGAGTTAAGCAGAGAAGGGAGGGCCCTCCCACTCCCACCCCCAATAATACCGTGAGCTCCTGAAGGGTAGAACCACATCTCATTCGTGTTTGTGATTCCTGGCACCCAGCACAGCTCCTGAAAACTGACAGGCCTCTGAGGAGTGTTTGTGGGGGAACAAAATGTTAGAGCACCAGTCCTAGAGGACGTTGTGCAAGGTCACTGTCTTCTTCCTCCTCCGACCTCTGTAGCCAGAAAAAAAAATCAAAATAAAGGAAATAATTCCACAGACTTTCTACCCTCGACGTCAGAATATTCCTCCACATTGACAGCATAAATCCTGTTATTTCCTTCTGCAGAACTTATTAAGCACAGCCTATTCTATGGAGACAAAATAATCAAACTTGTAGAAAAAGCAACCTGAATTAAAACGGTGAGGGAAAATCTCTGCTTTCCTCACCACCACCCTCACCCTCAAAAAAAAAAAAAACTTTATTTGTATGAAACTAGAATGTGTTTATTGATATGAAAGCCTTTTGGTTTGGAGTTCTTTTGGTTTTGTCTGAGCCAAGGAAAAGAAATCCAATATCATTAACGGACATAATCTCAGCAACCCATCTAGAGCTGACCAGAGTTTGTTAACTTCGTTTCAGGCGGGAAATGATGCCCCTTCTGTCCCTGGTCTTCTCTGCCCTCTTTATCCTCTTTGGCACCGTCATCGTTCAGGCTTTCAGGTAAATGCCTCCGTGGCTTCTCAGCGTGATTTCTCAAGGGTGAGCCCCAAACCTCAGGTTGTGGTACTGTTTCTTTTCTAAAACTCCTTGTTTCCTACTTTAGTGACTCAAACGATGAGCGAGAGTCCAACCCTCCAGATAAAGAGGAAGCTCATGAGAAGGCCGGGAAGACTGAGCCAACCTTCACCAAAGAAAACAGCAGGTTTCTCTAACAAGACACCAAACCCACCCGACCCCTACCCCCGGGCAGGAGAGCCACAGGCCCTGTAGTCTGATAGCGCGGTGTTCGAGGACCTAGCATATATAAGCACTCTGGGTCACTTCCTTGTGTGTGAGATGAGGATTTAGGGAAAAGTCAGCTGCTGGTTAGTGTTTACTGAAACCCCGTAGGCCTTTAGACACAGGACCTACTTATATTCTACTCAGTACCTTCAGGCTCTCAGTCTTAAATGTAATAATGCAGGCAGGAAGCAAAGCATGTCAGAGTTGCTAGACGAGCCAGAAGCAGAGAAGGGTGCGTCACCATGACTATGCCGACCACCTTCATCCTGTCCTAAAGCCGCTTCTACACCAGCTGTGAACGGCAGCATCTGAAAGGCCCTTTGTAGGCCCGGGACCACCAAGTGGGGACTATCCCCATCCTGCCGATGTGTCAGGCTCCAGAATATTAAATAACATATCTAGTCTGGTTGGAATGCAGCATTTTCTTCCTCTTGTTTCTTTTCAAAGTAATGACATTCTCCTGCCTGATAACATCTCAATTCCTCACTATTTCTCCACAGCAAGATTCCTAAAAAAGGCTTTGTGGAGGTAACTGAGCTCACAGATGTAACGTACACCAGTAACCTGGTCCGCCTGAGGCCAGGCCACATGAACGTGGTCCTCATCCTGTCAAATTCCACCAAGACCAGCCTACTACAGAAATTCGCTTTGGAGGTCTACACATTCACTGGGTAAGCTCGTGTGGGAGAGAGGGAGAGGCAGGGAGAGGAGGGGACCAGAGAAGAATTTCATCCCTTCCTCTTTCACTGTGAGGGCCTTTATGCACGCAGCAAGATGTTAGCTGTGACCTTTCGAGCCCAGAAATCTAAGCCGTCATGAGGGCACCTTTCTCTCCTCGACTTCATGTCCCGATGCTTCTGAACAGAAGAGTTTGACCTCACTCAGTCTTCTGCCCTGAGCCTTTTGGGGAACTGTGTCCTCTAGCTGTCGTGTGTTTTCCTGAAGCCAGACACTGAGAGTGCTTACGGGGCACCCGGCAAGGGGCCGGGAGGGAGATGGGCCAGCGGACTGTTAGAGCTGTTGCAGAAGGCCTCACATCCCCCAGGAATCCTCCATTCTTTCCATATTCGGGCCCCATCCAACACAAAGCCACCTCCTATTACTTGAATCTGACGGAGGTATTTACGTTCCCTGCAATTCAGTGTGTCAGGCAGTTCCGTAAATCTTCACTGTGTCCTTCCACCAGGAGCAGCTGCCTGCACTTCTCCTTCCTGAGTCTAGATAAACACAGAGAATGGCTGGAATACTTGCTAGAATTTGCTCAGGATGCAGCCCCGATCCCAAACCAATACGACAAGCATTTCATGGAGCGTGACTACACAGGTTACGTGCTAGCCCTGAACGGTCACAAGAAGTACTTCTGCCTCTTCAAGCCCCAGAAAGCAGTGGAAGAGGAGGAGGCCGTGGGGTCCTGCGGTGATCTTGACTCTTCCCTCCATCTGGGCGAAACTCGAGGGAAATCTTCCTGTGGCCTTGGACCCAGGCCCATCAAAGGGAAATTGAGCAAGTTGTCCTTATGGATGGAGCGCCTGCTCGAAGGCTCCTTACAGAGGTTTTATATCCCGTCGTGGCCTGAACTAGACTGAGGGAGCTCGAGAGAGACTTTAACTCTTCAGGCTTTTTAAGAGGCCCCTGGGAACAGGTCTTTTCAGGACTCGACCTATCACCACGGACAGAGAATAGATTCTAGATTATTCTTCCGGAACAATGGCTGGAAGAATCTTTCCTTTGTCCTGTCCTACCTAACCTAGAAGTGAAAAACACCTCAAGTTGAATTCCTTAGATCAAAATATTTTGCTTTGGGTTCTTTTTCCCCTCGTTTGAATGCCGCACTATTTAAAGGAGACTGCTCATCCCCTCTTCCTTCGTCATCCCTGTCCTGTGCTCCCACCGCCCTCCCCTGTCCTGTCTCTGCGCTGTGGGAGAGACACAGGGCTGTGGCCGGCAGCAGGCCCTGGAGTGCTGGCCGGGCCCCCGCCCCCGCCGTGCTTCCGCGCCCAGTGCATGCTGTATCCGTGGGACGACAGCCCACAGCAGCTTCTAGGCCCTGCATCCTGAAAGAGGCCTGGTTCCAAGCAGTCTCACATTTGATAGTTTTTTCTGGTAGTCAGTGGCTAAAAGTGTATTTGGGGGGTATCCCCCTGCAGCAGTTGGTCAGCCACGGTTTTACAAGGCTAGGGATAAGTGGGGGTCCTGCATGTGAGTTTGGTTTGAAGGGGGAGCTGGGCAGTGACGTACGTGACCCCTTGGGGCGTCCCATCAGCCACCTCCCCCAGCGCTAAGCGTGGCCAGGGAGGGATCTGCACGGCAAGAAGTACTGTAATGACTGAGCCATTTATGTGTCTGTTTTCACATGCCTTTCTGCCTCTGTCAATTTTAGGGTATGAATCTTAGGAGCCATAATTTGTAATCTTGTTCTCTGGACGTAGAGATAAGCTGCTATAAACCAGTAGATGTTAAACTGAAGACACCTCCCTTATCCCCTGCCTGACAGGCGTCAGGCTTGAGGAACCTCTTCACTCTGGTGGTGTCTCTTTAGTAAAATACCAGACGTGTCTTTGTATCAAGGAACTTAAAAATTTCTCCATAATTGTATTTTGAACACTGTTAACCCCCAGAAGTGCTGTAACTTTGAGCCCTCTTTTGTGACAAGTGAGCCAAGACTTGTTCTAGACTCCTGTTTGGCAAAAGGCTTACTTTGAGCTTCTGACCTATATTACGATAGCTCAATTGCTTTCACTCTTAACTCACAATTGCTTCACCAGGAACAGGGTCCGACCTACCATCAGCACCCGGCTTCCAGTGTGCAGTGGATCACACCCACCAGTTAGAGAGTTTGCCTTTTTGGGGGCGGGGGGGGGCGCAAAATTACCAGGGGATTTTGAGCAACCTCAAAGAGTGGTCAGTTCAGATGTCAAAACACATTGGCCTTTTGTAAAGCCAAGTGTCAGGATCAGTGATGGGACATTTACTGAGTTAGTATTTCTTTAATCATCATTGCTTTAAACAAAGCCATTTGGGTCCTGAACAATTTAAACATTGAGCTATAGGGGCAAGTAATAAATTATTTAAGCCCAGGAATTCCTATCATTTCCATGGAGTCTATAGCTTTATTTAAAAGAAAAAAAATCACTGCCAGTCTTTTTTTCCCCACATGATCCTCTAAAAATTGGATGCTTCCTCTGATTGCTGTCTCCTGGCACCTGGCCCAGGCAGGTGTGATTAAGGGATTCATTTGGTTCCTTGATGCACCAGCCTCAAAATTATTTTCTAGGTCTTTTATGGCCGAGTTGCTGATGTGAGTAGTGTTCTGGTTCAGTGGTCGGTTTTTAATTTCTGGTACTAATGGGATGGATCCCTAACCTTAATTTCTGAAAACCAAAACCTCCCCCAGATTTGTTCACTTTAAAAATGTTTCTCATTAAAATGAAAAGCGCCTTTAGACAGACAGCTGCACCCTCTATTTGTACGAAGAAAGGAAAGTTAGAATAGATAGGATTAAAAACATTCCCGGTGAATGTTTCAGTGCAGAAATTATTTCACAGGTCTGTTTGGGGCTAGAAGATACGTCCCCCAAGAGGACACTAGGAAGGTTCTACTTTGAACTAACTTTGCCCTTGACCCCCCAAGCCTTTTCTCCTGAATGTTTCCATGAATTTGTTTACCTTTGTGTCAAATGTCTGAGCCTTTGTCATGCTTAGCCAGTGCCACCATTTCTCCTCCTCTTGTGTGAAATCACACAGACCTGATTTTGGTTTTAAGTTAATTTCTTGGTCTTTGAATATCTTGAGACTGACAACATTGTTTGGTTTTTAGAAGTAGGCTTTTCTGGTACATCGTGTTTAGCAGCTGGGGATGGAAACTGGCCTAAAACAAGTCTTTGTAGAACACGCACCTACTTACAAATATTTTTTTATCATCCAGGTGCTGGTGGCATAATTTGGCTAAGAGATTGTCCCAGCTCTGAGTCAGCAGCGTTTCAATGAGCAAGACTGCCCTGACTTCTATTAGGCACCACGGTCTCGCTCCCTGCCATCACTTCCCAACCATGAAAATTTGGTCATACTTTTCAAATTAATAGGTTGATTTCCTCCTCATTCAGTACATGAACGTTTTCCTGATTTAAAAAGAAATGAAATCTGAATGTGTTTTTTTTAAGTGATTTGCTCTGTTTGGGAAAAAGAAATCAGAAGCAAACACTCCAACTTTTTTCCTAAGTAAAATTCTTTAAAAGCTGAGGCAAAATATCTTTGCAGATGAAATATCGCTCACATCCAAATGCCTGACCTTGTCCCTTGAACACAAATGCAGTGTGGCAACCGCTAAATCTGTCCATTCCGTTTGTCAAGGAGGATGGAACTTTAGAGACCGATCTGAAAAGAAGGTGAATATTTTGCACTTTTGATACTCTTAGGAACAAATAACTTATTTGGCAAATGGTGTCTTTTTTTATGTTGTTTGTGTTTTGTATTGTGAACAGGCACTGAAGCTGATGTTATTTTTGTTTTGAGAATATTACAGACTGGAAACAGAAATAAACTATTTTAATGTGTGATGATTATGCGTCGCTCTTGCGTTGGGAGATGATGATTTGCCCGTGGACACGTTAGCGACAAAACTGAATTTGCATGTAACTCAACCCACGCCTGAATCTTCCCTGCAGATTTCAGGAGTTGCCGTCACGGAGGGTGCATCAGCTCCAAGAGTAGATAATGTGAAAGGGAGGAAGTGGGTTAGGAAGGGTCACCAAGGGCTCTTTGGAGGCCACCTGATGTCTGGTTGAAAAGACATTCTGTGCACCCTCCTGGGCTTTTGAGTGGGAAGTTTCTTTATCAGGATCTGCATGTTACTTTCATTCAAACTTTTTGTTTAGGTTCACAGTGGTCCTAAAACCCAGATGCAGCCCTGAGTTCCTCAGGAGAAGCCACAGTGTGAAGGAAGAAACTAGATATGGGATGTTTATGCAGGATTATGTCCTAGGGCTTTTTTATTTCACTTCTCCAATTTTTAGATCATCTTGAACCAAATGCTCCTTGGCTCCCTTTTCCCCTTAATCCTCCAGCATCTTTCATCAAAACAACACAAGTGCTTCTCTGTTTTTAGTTCATTCAAACTCCATAGAAATATTAGCTGTTGGATTAGAGTTCTACTGAATGCCCTGGTTTTATAGGCCCCGGGGACACTGTTTAGTGGAAAGTTTTACTGGCATAAACTCTTTGAGTACTCAGACTGCTTGCACAGAAATTCTTGAGAATTGTCATCAGCACAACCTGTTGTATCTTGAAGAGCACAAGGTTTAGACGACCGTCACTTTGGGGAGAGCACAAGGTTCAGATGACCGTCACTTTGGGGAGAGCACAAGGTTCAGACGACCGTCACTTTGGGGAGAGCACACAGCATCTCAAACAGCAGGTTAGCCGCCAGAAGGGCCGTGTTTCCTACAAAGAGACAAAACGGAAGGTAAACACCATGCAGGCTGCCCGCAAGGCCAAGCCTCTCGGTACTCCGCCCTCTTCCCTCCGGCCTGCCTTTTCCAAATTCGCCCTCCCATGCTCTTCTCTGGGCTGCCCAGCCACCCTGTGGACACGCTTTCCCTGGTACTCCGCTCCAACAAACATTCAGAAAGAGCATTCTGAAATTCAGACCGTTCGTTGTTTACTCTGAGAACAGATTCCCCCCAAAGGAAAACCTTTAATAATGGTGTCTATTGTATTTATCACCTACCCTCTGAGACTAATTGGCCTAAGTCTGGAAGCTTCTCTAAGTTGAAATTATTGGGATGGCATCTGCTTTGAATATCTCTCCTAAACCAGCTAACCACCCACTTTTTTAATATTAATAAATATTACTTATGCAGTAATTCACTTTTCAATGAACTATCAAGGATAGAACTATGCCACCTTATTAATAAACCATAGGCTGGTTTCTTTCTCTTCTGCTGTCGGGCAGGCAAACCAATAATAGCCACCTCCCAGGGGTTTTGTTAATTAGCTCGTGTTTGTAAGGTGTGCAGTAATAGGTTTATTTTCTTCGCTGCAGAACATACTCAGCAGGTTCCCAAGTTATACAAAAGGATCCATCCATCTTCTACTTATTAAGTAGATTAATATAATTTAAACCAGCAGCTGCCTACAGATCATGGTATTCTCGCTTACTCACCAAAAGGATCGTAGGGCGGCGAAACTTCCACAAGATCACAACCCACCACGTTCAGGCCTTGACAACCCCGGATGATTTCCAGCGCCTGTCCAAGACCAAGCCCGAGTTGTCCACAGCAGTAACCACTCACAATGAAAAGCATCCATTGAGGTCCCAGTGCATCTCTCCCAGCACATGCCCACCCTTTGACTTGGAACTGTCGCTTTCCCTCAAAAAACATTTACTGACAGCCAGGCACCCTGGTGGGCATCATGGGGACACAAAAGGCCAAAGCACAGCCCCTGCTCCCGAGGGGTCCGTGTGTGATGGAATACACACAAGCAGGCCAATCATTCCAATCATTCGTACATTACAGGCTTCAGGAAAAGCAAAGCGTAGGGGCACCTGGCTGGCTCAGTCAGTAGAGCATGCAACTCTTGATCTCGGGGTTGTAAATTCGAGCCCCATAGTAGGCGTAGAGATTACTTTAAAAAATAAAAACTTAAAAAAAAAAAGCAAGCGCAGAAAAGTATAATACGAAACAGCCCGAAAAGCTGGGGGAAGCCCTCCCCAAGCAGCAGGAACACTTAGCCCAAGGAATTAACCAAGCAGACAGGTAAGGGTAGGGCAGCCCAGACAGAAAGACACCAAGATGGAAAGAAATAACAGTAGTTAGATGTGGCCAGAAGACAGGATAAGTGAGGGGGATGGTAGGAAGAGGTCACTTTGTCTAAAAGAGTTTCCATTCGGCCAGTGAAAAGCCCAGAATGATAAGCTGAGGAAGGAGGATCGTGTTTTAGAAATCTCTCTGACGGGAACTGATAGAGAATGGCTTTGAGAGGTAGCTGCTCACAGGCCCCTCTCTTAGAGGAGGTAAGATAACGGATCAGGTGTGAGTGGTCTTCACTCATTCACACAGATATCTATGAGTGCCTACTCTTTATGTCAGGCACCATTCTAGACTCCAAGGACAGGGTAGTACATGAAATAACAGCGCTAAC